ACGTCATATTAGAAATTAACAATAGTTACTTCCATTCATATGTCGACTCGATATATCCCAGTGAGCTTAGAATAAAAGATAGCACAGAGTCTGATATATGTGTTTTAAATATATATTTTATACTAGAAAAAGACGTTAATGGTGACCTAACAACAAAGCTTTATGATAAACGTGATGACTTAAGCTTTTCTTACTTATGTAGCAATATACCCTTACCACCTGCATATAGGGTTTACGTATCTCAGTTGATTCGATACACAAGAGTATGCTCTACGTATGAACAATTTCTAAAACAAAAAAAGCTATTGACAAACAAGTTGAGGAAACAAAGATATCGACAGTCTCGTTTGAAGTCATTATTTGGCAAGTTTTATGGTCGATACAATGACCTTGTCAGCACATACAACCTATCATTGAGTCAAATGCTGACTGACGTTTTTATACTAATTGTTAGGCCATTATTTATACACTAAACTGTCTACGGATTTTTCCGGGTTTTTTTTTATCAAGACAAGAAGCACACAGCGGGTGTGACCGGTCGGCAGGGAATGCTCACTCCTCCATGGCACCTGATCCCATCTCTAAATTTAGAGGTCCGTGTTTGCTCTGCTCCAAGTTTGTATCGTTTCATTGAACTTTCGAGATTGAATACTGTTCGTTATCTTCATATTTTATTCTACCAAGTCTCTTTCTTTGCTCCTCACTAACATGCTTAAAGTGGTGAAGGAGAAACTTCAGGAGTACTGTGCAACAATATATTCTAGAAGTGGTGTAAATCAGATGTGGATACTTAAAAATTCCAATGACGAAGTTGACAATCACAGGAGGATAGTGGACGGTGCTGGCATTAATTCGTCAGGTGTTTTGACCAATTTTGCAGGAACGATTCAAGCTCAACAGAGGGTTTGCTAATATATATATATTTCCCATATTTTCTCATAAAACCAAAATGGCGCGCGTGTAATTGTAACCCCATCGTAACTCGATATGTTTGCAAATTTAAACTCACGGTTAATAAATAAGACTGTAAACATCAATGAAAATCAGATGTATTTTTTGAGTCAAAAGTAATACTGAGTTTTGTATCGTCGAAATAACATGCTTTGTTTAACATACTCAGAACTATAGGAGCTCCAGATTATAACTCCGTATGATAGAATGTAGTCTATGTGAACATTCTCTCAACTGGCAAGTGTGTCTGTTAGCGTGCATCCATGTAGTGAAAAAAAGTTGACATTAATATTTTGCTTCGCTGAAATTGCGTCTCTTGTTATGTCATTTTTATGGTCAGTTTACTAAGGCACAGGATTCTAGCGTCCTGTCATTTTTGAAGTTATTACGCAATAAAAATCGCAAAATGACGTCACAATTCGTATATATTTCCCTGGTCTTTTCAATGATACCAAACTCATTAACTACTGTTAAACGGTAAATATTTTATCAAACAGTTCTCAGAAGTTTTCAAATACCCCCTTGTACTTAGAAGAGCATTTTCTGTAATTTTAATACATTAAGGACCGGAAAAAATTTTGACGTTTAGCAAACATTTGAGACTTATGCATTTTTGTAGGAGTGAATTCAAGTTAAGAACATTTTTAGCACAGTCCAGTGCGCCGTCTGTGTCAACGCAGCCGTCAATTTTAATAAAATTTTGAATATTATATACCAATTTTTAATATCAACTTTTAAGTACTGTGTCGTCTTCTCACACCAAACAATGAAATATTTTATTTAAATGGGGTTCTTCTGCGTAATTACTCAATATTTGCACATAAATTCATTAGTTATTGTTGGTTTAATCTATGTACAGAGTTTCATTAATTTATGACACAGAGTATTTTACATCTTTGTCCGTGATGTGTTCTGTATTAATATAGAAAACAAGATATACATGTACCTCTGACAGGCAAAACACAACTCTATAAGGAACAAAGGCAATTCAAGAGGCGATTACTTTTTATTAAGAAGGCCTTGAGGATAAATGGTTTTTAATAGTTAATGCTTGAAATCGTCATTAAGTGACCAAGGGACTGACTAGGTTAATAAAAGGAATTAGTATTGATTACTGCGATTACTGCGTTAATTAAATAAAGTCATGATAATGTAAACACAGTGAATGATTAAGTACTTGGAGAAACGTCAAGGTTTTCTTCAGCTTGCTACGTAAAGTACTGTATCGTGTTGCAATGCCTACATAAACGCGCAAATAATTATTAAGGACTGAAACACGTAAAATAAGGCACTGTTAAATAAACTGAATTTAAAACTTTTTTCTCTCTTGTTTCCTATTGTTGTTTGCATTCTTTAAAGGGGTTTTAAACTTGATGAAAAAAGATAACTAAATATATAGTACATTATATTGTATATTAATCAGCTGTTGATTCAAATTGCAGACAAATTAAAATTTGTAATAAGTTAATTTTCTCTTTCCTTTTTCCATTGACCTTAGTTGACGTGTTACATTATCTATTTTCTGTGAAACAGGATAGTATCATTTATTCTTTATGATTATTTTTTAAAATAAATGTAAACTTACCGGGGGTGGGGGCAAAAATGCAATAAAAAGTCACAGTTTTGATGGAAAATTGATGACTTAAATGCTAGATCCATTATGACGTCATAATTGATATTAACTTATTTTTTTCCCTGTACTTTACAGCTGTAATAGAATTATGTAGAAAAAGAAGGATTTTCATAGTATTCAATTTGAAATCATGTCATAGGTAAATCCGATACCTACATTCAATTTATTATCATTTTAAAGTAGAGGTCAAGAAGATAGGAAAAACCGTTTTCTGAGAGACCGTGGGCAATACTGTAGATTCCTTATTTTTCGCGAGTACTTATTATCGCAAAATGCATGGCTCTTGAACGTCAAATTACGAGAACAATAATTCGAACGCGAGTCGACGGTTGATCAAGAGATTTTACATTGAATTCAGCAACATAAAAAAAAAATCGAGTAATTTTATTCCGCGGGTGGTACTTCTCGAAAAATTAAGCGATATAATTAATTCCTCGTGTACATTTAAGAATCTACAGTATTAATACATTTCCTTTTTCTGATATGAAAGAAAGCTCCATTAAAAATGACAGGTTAAAATGTTTTTTCATCGAGTTTACCTAAAAGTTATGTCCCGAAGCACTCTGTTTTACCAATCTATATTTGTAATGGATCGTTAAAAGAACTCGTTTCTAAAATTTGAAAAATCTTTAGGCACCTTTCATTTACTAGATCTTGACCTTAAATAAAGAATTTGTACGGAGAAAAAACTTAAGGGCGTTTCTTTTTCTGCTGCAGTCGCTTTTTTGGACTCACGTGTTAAAAAATACATTTTATAATAAAAGGTGTTCATAAAACTGTAAGAATTGTCAATTTGATTAAAATAAAAATATGGCTAATGCATTATATGCATTTATTAAAACTGTGTATTATCTGCACAGACCTGCCTATTCAAAGCTTACATGGAATCTCGAGATATTTTAGCGCAATATGACGTCATTTAACACTTGCTATATTCCATTGTGACAGAAACAACGCTGTGTGAGAGCTTTTGCGGAGATCAAGTACATGTAGCCAACGGCCTCACGTAAACAATATGGTAATCGAATGTACAGCGTTCTTTAACACATATAAAATTCTCCACACTTCATATCATGACTACATGTAGATTAAAAACTTTATCAAAAAATTTAAAGTAGTTTCATGAGAAGTGGAATTAACTTTTTTGTACCATGTATTACAAATAGTGAAACAAAACTATTATTTTAAAAGAAATTAGTCATAAACACATCAACAAAAGTAATTTATCAAAAAGTTATAAAATAGGCCGTTGTATGCTTTTATTGAGTGTAGAATTTTCAAACGTTTTATTTCTTCTTGATTTTACTGAAGTTTTTTGTCAATGAATTAAAAACTTAAAAATTCCCAGTCATTATCTGATGAGAGGTTATTAGTAGTTCAGCTTGCTGAATGGAAGTTGGTTTGGGTCAAGAGAAAGGGATTTGCCCTAAGAATAAAATTAACCAAAATGAAATATTTAATAATTTCTAATAGAAGGTAAAAAGCTAAACAAAAAAGAAAGAAACTTGTGTCCATTTCCACTCTAATATACCTAGGGGGTGATCAATCTTCTGTTCATCCCCTAGATGAGCACATGCCAACATTAGAAAGAAAAGTAATTATTAAAAGTTTTTTACTTATGGTGTTGAAATTTTTTTTTTTTTTTGAAAAAAGGCGCTTTGTGCAGATTCGAAAGGAAAGAATGTAATCTCGGCATATATTTACTACCAATAAACACAAATCAAAAAATTAATTATTTACATACGGTCTGCAAACAAAGTGGTCATAAAGAGAACCGTAAGGGCCTCCGTACAAGAGGACCACTAATAATGTACCTCATGAATAAAACATTGGGAAACCTATTGTCATAAATATGATGTACGTCTATGTCGGGATAATTTAAAGATGAAGGGCCAATTCAGCCTGAATCATTGATATCCAGATTAATCAGTTTGAAATTTTTCTATTGAAATCGGAAATTATATCCGTGGTATAAAATCAATATTGTTACTGTTCTTTTATTTGAAAATTCTTTTTGATAAGCAATTACCTAGGGAAGCACCATTATGAACGATTTCATATAATATTCAAACATCGGCTTTTTTCATTTTCTCAGATTATTATTGACATACTCCTGTTTTTCCTACAACATTCCTATAGCAGACAGCGTGAGCGGTAAAGGAATTTTCAAATTAACAACATTTGAACAATTGCATGTTGTATTAATAAACTTTAATAATTAGAATGTAACATATTTGAGAAGGGGTTTAAAATTCTGACAAGTGTTATGAAAAGTTCTTCGATGCTACTACAAGATCCTCAGAGATCAATCGTCAGTGAGAAACTCGAGGTCTGATTGGCTTCGCCTCTCAGTAGAGGCGTAGGGATGAACGCAAGCACAGTCAACCGCCTCCGCCAGTGTTTTCAATAAGAGTATTAAAGCTGAGACCTCAGTAATTCATGTGTCACTCTTTTTACTTGTAATTGATAGAGATTTTTTTAGAACACTTTCAAACTTTTCCCAAAAGGTAAGACTACAATTCATAGTCAACTTTTTCAGCTTCATAGCCACAGCTTTCAACTTTGCACTAATCAACTTGTCAATTGCTTGATTTAGATAAGAAGTAAATTTGTTTTCGATATGCTTTTAAGTTTGATAAGAGTGAGGCATGTGTTAAAAATACTTTCTTAAATTTTGATTTCTCCTTGCTTTATGTTTTGGGGATTTATTTTCTGAAATGACTTTAGGAGTTTGGTGTTCTCTTTTTGGAACCTTCGGGGCAAGATGTAAAATTCTTTATTTGGAGTTTCCATGTATAGCTTTTATTTAAGAGATGAACACTGAAGTTACTGTTATTTAATCTTGCGGTATTGTTGCAAACAATTCTCACTTGAGACAAGAATCACTCGTTGAATTTACATGCAAACAAGAGTATCGAAACTCTGCTATCGTTGAATTTATATTTCGGGCGATAAATTTTTAATACATATTGACGTAACGTTCCATGAATTCTTCATATATTTCGAGTCACCTGAAATTGATACAGACAATAAAAACTGGCTGATGAAATAAAATTCTTTTGATATCTGTTTAGCTATCGGGTTTAACCTATAGAATTTTATATCTACTTCCCTTTGATAACAGAAATATAGATTGTGCTGTCATGTTTTTGTTGTTTTAAATTTCTTTTTTGACATTTAATGAATCACAATGCATATTTTGTAATTTCTCACTAAATTTATTTGTACGTTTGTTCTTTCTAGCGAAAAAAGAAACTTTTATCGTTTAAATTATCAATACCATAGAACTCGGTGAATGATATTAAAAGTTAGGCATTTTAAGGTACAATTTTCCACATGATGGAACTCTTTGAAATGCAAGCCGTTCTATATACATGAAATACTATATTAGTCATTGCAATCTTAAGTTCTAGGTTTGATAACAACCTTAAGCGTACAAGAAATATAACTGATTTTGATTTAATTTTTTTCCTTTCTTTTTTTTAAAATAGATCGAATTATTCTGTAAATTTGTTTATTGCTTCAAAAGTAAAGACGTTGATTTTCAGGGAAATCAAAATAAACACTATGGAATTAAAATTCGGAATGCGGGTAAATTCAAAGGCGAAAGATTGTTAACAGCACGCAATTTACGACACATGATTATAATGAAAGAAAAATTATTATTTTAAAAAATATCACATGATAGTCCTTTAGCGAGAAAAATAATAGTCTTTCTACTCAATCTTGATTACACTGTCTTTGCATCGAAGTAATCTGGTCACGTGGATATTCTTTGTCTAGAACTGTCAACCCATAATTCGATTAGTTATTCCCACATTTCATCAGTTTGCGCTCACCGACTGAAAAGGTGATTTTTTCCGATGTAAATCTGTTTCGTTTGTGTTTTATTACCATTGAAAATTGACACCTTACTTTAAGTTAATTTCAACATGTATTAAAAATGTCGCAATCCACGGCGAATGAAGCAAAAGTACAATTATGATCATTAATAAGTCAACTTATGATTTTGAATGAACTTCACAAGCTTTAAATTTCTTCAAAATAATTGTATAGATAATTCTACATGCTGTAAAATTTTCTAATTTCAGATAATATATTTCACATAACAAAATTATTTTGCCCCTTTGTAAACTGATTGCTGACATTTCAGTTATCGAAACCAGGAAAATCGCAGTTCCAATCAATTAGTATTTGTTTAGCTGATTAAAATTAATCTGCAAATCACATCCTTGAGCCATTGATATTCATATATACTGTTCTTTTCCATTACTGTAGCAGGTATAGAAAGTGTCAATTGTTTTCACAAGATGAATGAAAACCGTCACTGTTGTCGGACAAACGATCTTCCTCTTCCGATTACAGAGAACCAGAATCCATCTAATCTGCCTACATTGTTTTCCTGATAATGAAATAATATGATCGGTCATCTTTCTCAATATAAAATATCGAAACACAAAACATCACGATCTCTAGCCATTTTTCAACCCAATAATGGTTACATGTACCCTATTTATTTGTTGTTAATATATATATATATATATATATATATATATATATATATATATATATATATATATATATATATATATATATATATATATATATATATATATATATATATATATATTTATATATATATATATTCAATTCTGTAAAAAGCATATGCAACCGATTTGCAAATTTGCATAGGAGGGTATATATAGCGTGTTAATAAAATTAATATCAGATGAAATTTCTCAGGTCATTAGAATATACTATTAATTGAACTTGTCTGTTTCAGAAATTACAAAAACAATGCATTGCGATCTTCACCAGCTGTATCTGTCCTCTGTAATTCTCAGTCTTGTCAAGGTTTGTGCTTGCCTGAGGACGAAACAGATAGAAACATCGGTCACTGACCATGATATTGTGAAAAGACATGCCGGACTAAGTAATAGTTACGGTGATGAGCTAGAAGGATACGATCTGGATCCAAAGAGAGACAATAATAATTGGGATCAATTCCCTGCCTGGGGGAAAAGACAAGCAAAACGCAGATGGTCTTCGTTTAGTGCCTGGGGAAAAAGAGGTTGGTTGGACAGATTGATCAGTGCTAACAATAACTGGGGCAAACGATGGAAATCCATGTCGAATTCTTGGGGAAAACGTCAAGCCCCCATGGAATATGACGGACTAAATGATGAATACATTAACATTAAGAAGAGATCTGTCAACCCCAAATCCAGAAACAAACGGTCAATATCTTCCGACCTTTCATCTGGAAAAACTGAAGAAAAAAGAAGATGGTCTTCACTTTCAGCATGGGGAAAACGCAGTGATGATTCCGAGAAGAGGAGATGGTCATCATTCTCCGCTTGGGGGAAAAGAAGTGAACCTGAAAATTCAAATAGTCACGATAGTGAAGACGATATTACAAAACGGAAGTGGTCGTCTCTTTCAGCATGGGGAAAAAGAAGTGATCCTGCAGATAGGCTAAATAGTGATGAAATTATAAAACGTAAGTGGTCTAGTTTTTCATCTTGGGGAAAACGTGGACTACCTTCTGATATTTCAAAGAGACTGCAATCCTATTGGCGACAACGCCTCTTACAAGATAGTGGTCCATGGATGGAACGAAGAGGGTGGAACGCTCTAACCTCCTGGGGGAAATGAACTGTGGATTTAACAAACACAGCACTAAATACGCTCATTTTACTCTCAAGATATGTTTTCCTGGAAATAAATAAATTTTAGCAAGAATTTGTTTCCACTTTAAGTTTTTATCTTTTAAAAAAAACAAACTAAAGTAGTTTCACATGATTCAACCACTCATCTTGAAACTTATTCCATTGTTTAAAATGTTTTGCTTTTCACTAAAGTATCATATATTTTTAATACATACCTGTGCTTAAGTTGTTTTTCTTTACTTCTGTGACCGAATGAGAGTTTGGCCACGTTGTTCAATAAAATTAAGTAAATTATGAAATATGTTTGCGCCTTTTAATAAAAAGGAAGCTTTTCATGAGGATTTTTTAAATGTTTTAATAGCATTCTAAGGGATCACGAATAATGGCTAATAATGTCGCACATACAATGTCCATTAAGGAATTTTTTTTTTAAAATTTTTTTGAATTTTTGGTGTGTAAATCACACAGACTTGTACGTAGGCATATTTTTCATGAAGCGCTAGCGCGCTTCATAAAAAATGTCTACGTGACAAGTCTGTGTGATTTAAACAAAAAACTCACACAAAACTGAAAAACATTCCTTAAATATATCATTTAACATTGTATGATATATAGACACTAGTTCAGTATCCACAATTTAAAATACATGTACATATTTTTCACATGACTGTTCTGACAATGTAAACTATTTTCTTTTCTATTGCCGAACTAAAAGTATCCAAAAATTGTGATCCCTCAAAACTCTTAAGTTTTGCTTTGACGATTGTAAATTGACATCCTTACTACGATTGTCCCAGAGTTAAAGTTGAAGAAATAAAACAATCTTCATATGGCCCTTTTTTTTTGGCACAAAACCAATAATTAATACAAAATAATATTAATAAAAATAAATAAATGATGCGAAGTTTCAGTTAGAAATGTGTTTGAGGATTCTTTTTAGGAGCCGTCTTCTGTTCCTAAATTGTCTGTTAAAAGCTGTAACCTTATTACTAATTATTCATTCATATGTAATCTAACTGCTTTGTTTCAATACCAAAACTTGGGATTTCTGACCTGTTAATCTCATGTTTTTCTACGGAAATAAATAAATCCTTTTGTGGACTTAGGTAAACATCATTCTGATTCTATACACGACTACTCCAAAAAGATACCATAGTTCCTCATTGAAAACACCTATGTAGACTTTGAAGAGCAGGTTTCCCAACAATATGTTCGAATATCCAAGGACACTAACAGTGCTCCTTTATAAGCCGACTGAAAAACTCTTACTGGCTTTCGATATCATTTTGATAAATTGGCAACGCTTTACCAATTTACAATTAATTTCAACTAAGAATATTCATGTCAACTCGATATATTAAAGTGAACTTGAAGCCATATCTGTTTCAAACTTGGGTGTTTTACTGACTATTGACTTGAAGTCAACTCAGTATATCAAAGTGAACTTGAAATAAAAGAAATCACAGTCTGCAGCATGTTTCATTAGTGGGTGTTTTCATGACTATAGACTTGAAGTTATTGGCTAACTAACAACTAAGCTATATGACAAACGGAAAGAACATGTTTTAGTACGATCAATTTTTAAACCAAGACAGGCTAATGGCAAATAAGCTGATGTTACAGGGATTTCAATTATCTAGTATAAAGTCAGCATTTTGCAAATTTTATGGACGTTATAATGACCTTATTTGCAAATACAGTCTATCGTTTGGTCGTGTTTTGGCTTACTAGTCCACCAGCAGAGGCCTCGACCCAGGGGTCGTAATGTAAATCATATACGGTACCAATTTTGATGCACCAGATGCGCATTTCAACAAATTCTGTCTCTTCAGTGATGCTCGTACCGAAACATTGGAAATCGAAATATTTAATCTAAAAAAAACTTTGAAGAGCTGAAAAAGGGGTGCCAAAGACGGGAGCCAAATACGTCGAAGGATCAGAGCTATTCATGAGGGAGATAATCCTTAATTTTGAAATCAATTTCTGAATTTTACCACAGCAGTTAAATATACATCCATATTATCAAGCTAGTACCGAAGTACTTAGATACTGGACTGTAGAGACCCTTGGGGACTAACAGTCCACCAGCAGAGGCCTCGACCAAAGGGTCATATGTAAATCATATACGGTACCAATTTTGAAGCACCAAATGCGCATTTCGACAAATTATGTCTCTTCAGTGATGCTCTTACCGAAACGTTGGAAATGTTTCTTATCAATTGTTAGGTCATTGGCAACTTGACTACGAATTGTGCCGTGTCCTGATCAAAACAGAGTATCGTCAGTGGATGCTTACTCTTCTTAGGCACCCAATCATACCTCTGCTTTATATATATATATATATATATATATATATATATATATATATATAGAGAGAGAGAGAGAGAGAGAGAGAGAGAGAGAGAGAGAGAGAGAGAGAATCTCCTTTTCAAGAACAGCAAAGCCAGGATTAATCATGTTAATAAAGAATCATTTTAAGGTAAAGTAGATTCAAGGTTTGTTAAAATCATGACCACCAGGGGTAGGTTTGGGTCACAAAAGGGGATGTCAGTTTGATTCTACACTACCGGAGGGTTCGTCAATATAAAAATAACTTATGCTAAGTCATACTTTAATCTTTCAGTTTTTCAACTTCTTTCAAATCATAAAGCCCTTTGAGTAGGGTGGGACCACAATAGATCAAGTGTATATAGAAATTTATAGGGAAAATCTTTTAAAATCTTAATCTTATGTACATAGCAATGTTATTATAAGTCATATTGATGTATCTTTAGGTGGTTAAGATAAGTTTGTTCAGATCTAGGCCCTCAGGGATAGGTTGAGACAACAATAGCGTTTTCAAGAGTGTACTAAAAAAGAGAAATCTTTTCAAGAGTAGCAAGACCATACTAAATCAGATTTAAAAGAAAAACATGACTACGTTTTGTAATTTTTTTAATTACAAGCCATTGAAAAAGGATTGGGCCGAAATTAGATATTCAAATTTTACATAATGTATGTGCATAGAAAAAAATCTCGAGAACAACAGTGCCATTTTGATCGTCTTGATACTGAAGCATCCGATTGTCATGTAGGTTCCACTTTGATTATATTATAGCTTTATTAGCTACATTTTGGCTTAGTATTTGGAGTCAAATTATTTATCAAATTGTTCCTGAAGTTCCTCATTGAAAATAAAACCCTCATGGTAGCTCAGTCGGTAGAGCGCTCCCTCCGTGATCAGAAGATCGTGTGTTCAAATCACGTCCGCGACGGACCTAAGTCGATAAAAAATAGGTAGCAACTGTTCCCTCGCCAAGCGCTCGGCACTTTGAAGTGAAAGTTGTGGGTTTTTCGAATGAGACCTTAAAAACCAAGGCCGTGTATCACGATAGACGTTGGAATGATAAATAACCCTTACTGCTCAATGGCTCTGAGTGCATAGTAAAGGTCTACATTTGAAGCCCTTCCTTCATCGGCATATGGTGACGTTTCTATATGAGTGAAAAATTCTCGATCTGGACGTAAAACATTCAATTAATCAATGTCATTAAAAATGTCTACAAAATATATGGAGACAAGGTTTTCCACATATCTAACAATGCAACATGTTTGGGGAGAGGACTACCTAATTAGTTTTTAGAACCAATTCCTATGACATATTGTCAACAAAATATGTTTAAAACAATCATGCTCCCTTTAGCCGACTTGTATTTTTTAAATTCATATGATGATAAATTATTCAAACACTTCTTCAAGAGAAAAAGAAAACTCTTGCTGTGGTCTTCAATTCGACATTTAATATATATTATAGTCTTTCTTTTTCTTTCATCACCTTAAGTTTAATGGAGTCTAATGAAAATGGAATAATGAAATGGTACTCATTTTGCCTTCTAACTGTTTATTTAGTACACTGTATTAGTAAATATGAATACATGAGGGGCAAATAAATGAAAAAATTAAAATGAAAAATTAAATATATAATTTGTCAGAATGGATTAAATGTATCAGATGGGTGTTGAAATGGCGCATTAAGCGATTGAGGGGCAATATGAAAACCATCTATCCATCCGTCTTCGACAATGTAGAATTGAAATAAAAATTAGATATATTACACGATCTGTATGTACTGGTCCTCGCTGACAAAGCAGGTAACAACATTATCTTCGTTTGTAAGGCTCGTTATTTGAATTGTATTTAAGAGGAACTAGGATCTAATTCTTCAAGTGGTAATCCAACTTATACCCCTAGCTCCCTTCCTAAGGAGGATAATCTTCAATACCATATGCCAGTTTTAAATATTTCTTATATTCCCAACCATCAAAATGAATTTGAATTACCATATCTATAATGGATTCCAATATACTCCATAAAAATCCTTACAAACAAAGATACATGGCGGGATCCATTAAATGTTCTATCAAGCCTCTTTCCTTACTCCTCACTTAAATATTAACAGCAGTGAAGGAGAAACTTCAGGAGTACTGTACAACAGTATATTCGAGGAGTGGTGTAAATCAAATGTGGGATACTTAAAAACTCCAAGGAACTTTTGGAAAATTGGAAATCACAAAATTTTAACAAAATCAATAACATCAAAACGTACGACTTTTCAACACTTTATACAACCATTCCTCACGATCAATTAAAGTTACAAACAGAGAAAATGTTGTTACCTGCTCAGTCAGCTGGGACCGAACATACTGATCGTGTAATCTATATAAGTCTTTTTTCACCTCTGAATTATTGAACACAAAAGGATAGATGGTTTTCATATTGCCCCTCAATCGCTTAATGCGAGATTTTAACTTACATCTGATACATTTAATCCATTTTGACAAAGTATCAAGATATTCTTTTTCATGTCTGACCCATTGTCTGGCGTAATGTTCTACAAAATTCATAATATTTATGAACTAATGACGCCAATTGAAAGATCGGGGTTCCCTAAAATTTGGCCCGTTTAAGGAGGCTGGGGGTCACAAATTAACCATCAGATATAACTTGATATTTTAGATATGATATCTTAAGCTGTCAACTATCATTTGGCAAACAAAAATTTCATACATTTTAGTTTTAAAATTTGATCATTTTTGTATATCTTTATATGGAGCTCTTCTTCTAAAGGAGGTCAGTATAGTCTGAAAATGGCCACAACCACCCAGCCCTCTTAAAATAAGTGATTTAAGGTCCTCGTTATTAACTATATTTTCGTCACCAGTAATGACGTGTCCAGCAGGACTTTAGTTGTAGGGTGAAGAAGAATATGAATACGAGGGAAGATTATGTTTCAGATGTTCGATATCCAGGTTCTGTAAAG